TCCAAAACACAGCACTGTACCAGCTACTAGGAAGAAAATTAACTCTACCCCAGCCAAAACCAGCGCAGCTATCTGTAAAGCCTTATACAAACATCCATACTCTTAATTATACTGGTATAAAAAACTTGCAGAATCTTAATAAATTGTGTCTGTTGGAAAATAAGTGTATGAATCAGAGTAACACACTACAGTTGATTAAATGATACTGCTTTGTGTTTACACTAGAACTGTAAATCTCTTCGTGTTCCTTAGTTCTTATAGTTGTATACTGATAAATTTGGGTTAAATAGCATAGTAAGGTGGGATGTAGTGGAACTGCCTTAACGTGGTGCTGCTCCTTATTGACAAAGTAGAGCACGTGAGTATTTTAGCTCTGCTGCAAAGGGAATGCTTCAGGTAGCTCGAGCTTATGATTTGGTTATCAAAATCTTGTGTAAGGCAGGACTTTTGAGAGCTCTGAAGTTTAACCTTGGTCTGTTTCCATTGAAAGGAGAATAACTCTTGAAAAAAAATTCTCACTTTTTATGCTCTGTAGTTCAGATAATAAAATAAGTAGTTGAGCATTAATACAAGAAGGAAGAAAACACCATAGAAATAGCTGGAATAGAAGTAGTAACACAGGTGGGAGAGGATGAAGAGGAAGAAGAGCAAGTACCCGTTTCAATGTTGTAATTAGTTCTACTAATTCACCCTACCAGGGCTAGTGGTGTTCTTAAAAGGTAGTGGGGGGGCGGAACTTTCAAGAGCTGCAGCTGCAGTGTGTAGGTAAACGAATGACCAAATGTTAAAAATTACATCTGTTGGCAGGCAAGGCTTCTAACAGACTGGACTTTAAACATAAATATTTTGGCTGTTGAAACCCTGTGAGCAAAAAAATAAATGAAAAATGGGGGTGGGTGTTTGCATTTTTGACCTAAAGTTAATTCACCTTGGGAAGTCTAAGGCCGGCAGGGACAGTTGGTCAGCTCAGGTTATCAGTATTATCTTATCTCTCTACGGCTGTACTGCATGTTATTTCCTTCTGTTTTATCTTGTAACTGTGTGTATATAGGTACACAGATGGGCATTTCAAACAAAAACTGGATCATAAACTTTTCAAGGAAGGCACCTGGTCTTATCCATATTGCCTAGTGTGCTATTAGCAGCTAGATTTCCTTCACTGGGGTTTGTGAGTGTGCATAAACTCCTGTGCGTACACTCAAGACCTCAACAGGTAGTACAGTGAGTGACAAAAAAAAGTTACTGCTTCAGGTTCTTTGTTCCAGAAATGACACCAAGTACAAGCTAGGACTTCTGCAGCTCTTATTTCCCCTTAAATTCTGGTTGTGCTTTCCCCAAATCTGACTCTTCCTTGCAAGTGTATGAGGATTACTTTGGGATTTTGAGATAGGCAGGGTTTTCTAAACGGGAAATAATGTGCTTTGGGTTTATTGTTAAAGCTCAGCTTCCGTGACTACTGGTTGCATATTTAAAAAAATGGCCTCCAACTTTGCTCCATGTCCATGAGCAACGTTAAAACGCGCCAGAAGTACAAGCAGTTGAGAACTAGGTTGCTAAAATGGAAGATCAATTCAGTTGTCTTTGAAACTTGCTCTATGGACAACATGTTCAACTACCCTCGCCGGCAGTTCACGTTTACCGTGTTCTTAAAATTAATGTCTACCCAACATGGATTTCAAATGTCTTCTTCCACAGGCGTGTAGTATTTTCTCAGTACTAAAGTTACTGGCAACAGAAATGGCCAAAACAGACATTGGAGGAAAGTTTTATGCAAAAAAAATGCCTTCTCTAACTGCCTAAAATTGTGAGCCACCTTCTTACACTGTCCTGTCTGGGCCTTACTCAGTTTTTTAGGACAGTGCTAGTGCTCTTGGGTAGAGTAGCAAGTGCTGGTGCTCCCGGTAGTCCCCCTTGGTTTATTTTTGGTTTTGTAGGAAAAGAAGCCTCCTGAGGGTGGAACCCCTACAGGACTGGAGCCTTCAGACTGCCTTCACATGACGAATCTTGCTAAACTGCCCTTTAAACTGATTTATTGCTTTACTGCTTCCTATAAAAGTGGCTCCCGCATGTGAGCAGCACTGACAGGTGAAGGGCAGAATCACAGGCAGTGAGTTGCTCCTGGCACACCTCTGTCTTGCAGAACCTCAGAGTAGGGGGAAGAGAGCAAGAGAAATGGGTCGCTACTCGGGCAGGAGCATCAGGCTCATCCTCATGTGCGTGGTGAGCCTTGTGCTTTTTGCTGTTGAGATCTCAGTAGCCTACGTTGGCAATTCTCTTTCCTTAGCTTCAGATGCCTTTGCTGTTCTCTCTCACTTGATCTCCATGATCATCGGTTTGTTCACTGTTAGGTTCAGTCGCATCAGATGGCACAAGGCTAACACTTTCGGCTTCAGCCGGGCAGATGTGCTGGGAGCTTTTGGCAACTCTGTTTTTGCCACCGCTCTGATGTTTAGCATCTTCGTTGAGGCAATCAAGAGGTTTATCAATCCTCAGAAGACTGAGAAAGCACTGCTTGTCCTCGTTGTTGGGATTGCAGGTCTGTTCTTCAATGTGTTCAACTATGTTATCTTCATGGATTGCTGTTATTGTCATGCACCCCAAGGAGACACCGAAACAGGTAAATAACCTAATGCAGTTGCTCAACGTTCCCAGCCCTCTACGCTTCTGCTTAATGACTCTTCTAGAGACTGTTTACTGCTTCTCTGAGATGGGCGAGTAAAACGTAGTTTTCTTCATCCTTTTGTTAGCGTGAGTAATGGATTTTATGTCTGAACCCATCCAAGTTTCCTGCTTATTCTGCAAGGCAGCTATCACCACGTGTTTCTCAGTAAATAATGTTTAAGTAGTGTATGCGTTGACTTTCTAAAGAGTACGGTGATCTACAAGAGAAATTTTCTCCCTAATCCACTGGCTGGCCAAACACGGGACAAGGTGTACTACCACCCTAAGGAGATACTTATTAGGAAATACCTAATCCTGAAATACCAATCATCCACAATCAGTAACTCTCCATGCTTTAGTAATTGTGCTGTAATTTTTGTCTAGGACGTGGTTATCTTTTGAGAGGTGTTCACAGTCTGTACGAGACAAAAGAGTAGGTAAGGGCAAAAGGGGAGTCTCGGCCTTCCTTGATTTGGGGGTAAAAGACAACTGTTTTGAGAATATTTGAATGCTGACTGAAAAACCTGTGAATACAGAGCTGAACTATTCTTTGCTATGTTTGTTAGCCGGTGCTTTGGAGAGGGGCAGGGGAGAAACAGTGATACTCTCTACATAAATCTTTTGCAGGAGGTTCTGTTGAGTGCACAGAGGTTTAGCCTTTCAGTTTATTTTTCTTAGCATAGGATTTTCTAATTTCTCCATTTGGGAGGAGGGATGGGGGCTGGTTTTTTATTCCTGCAGAAAATATCTCACTTTATTTGACATAAGATACATGCGTGTTCTCTCTCTCTCTGTACATATATATACACACACACATATACAAACATATTTCTTAAAAATAGAAATATTTCAGTTGGGATAGGAAACAGACATTTGCAAAGCATTAACTGGACATCCTGGGGGGAAAGCTGAGAGAACCTGTCTAAGAAAGCAGCTGCTGTTATGTACTGTTCTAGGTGAGGTAAGGTAAGTTTTATATTTGACTTTCAGGCTGGACAGGGATTTGGAGCTAGAAATTAAAAGTTTGTTAGTTTACATTTCAGTGTTTAATGTGTTTTCTGGAGGACTTAAAGTGGAAAATATTTCTGTTCATTATTAAAGGTATTATTGAAGACAATATTGAAGCTTTAACTTTACTAGCGTATAACACTAAAACCAGATGCACAACTTACTTTGCTGCCTGTTTGTTTAGATACTCAACTGTTTAAAATTTGAGCGGCTTTTAAACAAAAGTTGTGGTGGTATGTAATTAGCAGGGGGATTTAATGGGCTTTTATGTTAGGAACTGTCAGCAATTCCTGACAAAATCTTAGTCTCTGTGACGGCTTCTTCGTTTCATCCTAGCAGAAAATTACGCCTCTGGCTGAAGTCGGGGAAGAGCAACACTTTAGCACTTAAAACCAAAGGTGGAGAGTGTCAGGCAATTAGGGAATTAACTTAAATTAATGACAGCTGTGTAGGTAAATGCCATTTTCACCGAATTTCCAGGATCCTGCTCCTAACAACTCTCTGGGACAACACAGCCATCCCTCTTCCTCTGATAGACTCACGTCCAAATATCTGGCAACTCCACTTCGCTTTCAACTGAATTTCAGTGGCATAAGCCAGAGATGAATTTTGTACCGCCCCATAAACACAGTGGTAGATTTGTCGGTGGTTTTGCCGCTCTATTTCTGGTACAGTGAATCTTCTCTGCTTGCGGTAATGCCTACAGGCAATGCTATTTCGTACTGTAGGGGGAATGTTCCTTTCTTCTGGACTTGATTTTATAATCCCCACTTAGGTAAAATTTCACATTTGTTTCCTCTAATTCTCTCTCTATTCAACCTGAGCGGGGGTTTTATTACATTTATTTTGAAAGAAATGTTATTCCCCAAATAGCTGTACTCTGAAAAGTATACTTATATGCTTTATATATATTTTATGTATATATTAAAAAACATGAAAAAAGAGGCATTCCATCTCTCTTGTCATCTTGTGTATGAGGAAAAGATACTCCTTCCTGGAGATGGAAGTCAAGGCAAATTTTCTAGTGCATCAGTGGCACTAGCAGAAATTCAAGTGGATGAACATGGTCTCTGAATACTGCTGGTGCAACCCAGCTGTCCACAGGCAATACCCTTGGTGACGCCGGAGCAATCTCCTGACACTGGTGACAGTTCGCTGGAAGGTTTGTAGAGTAGCCCTCTACCTCTTAGGCGTTCCTGGGAAGTAGGAGAGCTGCTTTCAAATCTCTGTTCCCCAAGTAGGGAATGGATTTAAACAGCCCTTTTCTCTCTTGTATGTGATTGTTTGCATCGCTTTGAAAAATACAAAGCAAAAAATAAAGAGAGTGGTACAGTCATCTAGTGCTGCATTGTGGGTGCTGAGGGCAATGGGAACATCTAAATCCACGGAAGCAAATTATTCCACGTGTATTAGTGCCACGATTAATCGCAACAGCCAACAGTTCATCTCGTTTATCTGTTGTGTGGTCTACCGTCAGGGATGGAAACATTAGCTGGTGGTTTTTCTGGGTGTTGCCGGCAGCAGGGGCAGAGCCATGCCTACAACGAGTGTTGCTAGCCAGGTCTGAGGTCCAGTGGACACAGAAGGTGGTGTTCACAGGTGCCAACCCAGCTCTCCGTCCTTTCCCCTTGTTCTACTGCTGTACTCCTCATTTAGCTCATTCCAACCTCCACACCTCAGGTTCTCATCTTAGTACAAATATTCTTGTTGAGCAAGTATAAATGTGTTTTTCTGAGTTGCCATCCCTGCTTACCCAGGCAGACCCAATTTCCCTCCTCCACCCATCGGCTGGGTTTGTTTTGCCTCTCACCCCTTACTCTTCTGTCCCTCCCCTTCTCTTTTTTCTGGTTCTTGCTACCGTTTTGCTCTGTGTCCGACTTCCTAAGTCTTCGTCTACTGCCTTCCCCCTTTGCCTCTCTCTCTAGCTCGTTGTTCAAATTCCCGTATGTCCCCTCTGCCAGCTGTAAGCGCCCATCTCTTCCCACCAGGTTAAATTAAGGTCTCTCTGCCCCTCTTTGCACTTCATTCGGGCAGTCTAGTTCCCCCCGCTACGTTAGCACTAAGAGGAGAGGTCAGCAAGAGGATGGCAAAGACGTGCCGCTGTTCTTTCTTCTGATGCTGGCCCAAAGCAGCTATTACAGGTGTAAAATATTTCTACACTCTCTAAAGGAACTGCTGTGTAGAGATACTTTGGCCAGCTGGGCTATCCAGGGCAGCGTGGAGGGCAGCACAGACTAGTCATTGCTTTGACTTCAAATCCAGGAAATACTTGTTAAAACATAGAAATATTAAAGCTTCCCTAAGAAACTTTTGCCAGAAGTTAACATTCACAAAATGTTTTTCTTGCTGTTGCTGTTGGAAGTGACAGAGCAGCTTTAGCCAGAGTTTTCTGACAATTTTGAGGTCTTGTATCTTACACAGAAAGATTTGGCACAAAAATGAAGAATATGGCAAAGTAATAAGCAGCTGAAAAAAAAAAATCAGGCTCTTGTAATAAATACCAGACAACTTTAATACTGGCTATATCCTCTACAGTCAGTCATAAAAATACAGAAGAAGCCTGTTTTACTGCACACAGAGATCAGCTTACTCGTTTGTGTAGTTCAGTGTAATTGTCTCTTCTACTCATTTATACAGAGTTTTAAACTGTTAGGGGGACCACAGTTTGAAAAGCACCACATTAGTGTGATTATACTACTTCTCCGTTGTTTGTCTTGAGAAAATGAATAAAGATTTAACGTGGATAAAACATTTGTCCTGTCATCTTGTGATCTGCATGGGGAGGCGGGGAGGAAGCAGGAAATGAAGAAGATGTCACCTAGCCCAGCCCATGCGATACTGAGCCACCCATAGAATGGCTGGGGCTGTGAGAAACAGCCCTAATCTTCTCATGAGAGAACTGTGCAACAGTTCACAACTCATTAAATAAAACACGTTCTGTGTTAGCAGCCAAGTGGCTTGCTTTTATATTCTGGTAGGTGCAATTTAGCAGGCATGTGCGTGAGCTTTTTACGTGATAACGCTGTTGGGTCTTCATTCTCCTATCTCACTGTGCACCAGCAGCCTGCCTCCCAGATAAGTGGTGGCATGTAAGCTAGCAGTCACATAAGTGGAAAACATACCTTCTTTCTCCTCCTGGACCTTATGCAGAGTGAGTTTGTTTATTCTGAGGCTTGCTGGGAGGCATACCTCTTTTTGCAGGCTTTTTTTCAGTAGGAGAGAGTTGGGGCTATATGTGTGTGAATGAAGGGAGATGAGGAGAGGTACTAGCTTTAACTGGCTGGGTGACTTGGGAAGGCTTTGTTGCTGTAATATTCTGAACTCAACTTTCACGTCTACTGTTGCAAACATACTGATCCCAGGGGAAGTGAGAACATCTATAGGCCAAAATAAACGGGTAAGTGGCTGCTTGACCTGTATCTTAATGCCGTAGACCTTCCCAGTGGAGACCTGGTGAGCAGAAGTGTGCAGGTATTGAAAAGTAATTGATTTTTAGCGGCGCTCTCAGATTCAACAGACTCAACAATCTATCCTGCAGGAGACAAAAGTGCTCTGGGAATTAGAGATCCAGAACAGAGGATTTCAGTTTCTTAGGCTGTCAGTGTAATGAATTTCATGATCACTTAATTCACCTGCATTTAAGAAGGAAAAAATAAGTTCCCTGGTCTGAACAGGTTTCTCTCTAATGTACTGCTGAAAGGGTGCCAGACTATGCCAGTCCGACGGTTTTGGGACCTTTCTAAGGAATGGGAAGGAACCCTGGCTGTAACACCTGTAACAACAAACCTCTGGCTTACTGTGCTTTTCACACCTGAAAAGCCTGAAAGCTTTTCCTCAAGATCAGCATTACTACCTCTATTTTACCTCTCTTTTGAGTATACCTTCACCAGGTTGATACTATTTTTCCTCAAAAGCACCAACCCTTCAGTAAACACTTCATGCCAATTC